ACATTCTCGGGAATTACAAAGTTTCGGGATCTCATCCCTATTTCCGGGAAAAATTCTTTTCCCGTCCCGACCCGACTTCGGGATTCTGGAATTTTCGACATCCCGCACACCTCTAATTCATATTTATAAAAATTATGTATAATAAATTATAAATATATAATATATAAATACATGTGTATGTATGTATGTATACACACACACACACATATATGCCAGATATTTGAACTTGTATGAACTTATAATATTATAAGTAATTGTTTAATTACATGAACTTGTAACTTCAATACTACAATTATTTCTTAAATGACATAACAGATAAACCATTAAAATTCTGTACTTAAATTTTGGTACATATATGAGGATACAAATCGCAGAGTAAAGCGGATATTCTAACTCATTGATAATAAGAAACAAAAACTTGTTTTAGTGAGAGTTGTTTATATTGTTATAATGTTCGAGATAACAGTTTTTTGATTGTTATTTATATTTTTGAAAAACTGAAGACATATTTGATACCTCTAACATTTGTACAACATAAACATTATATACTATAATTAGATCTAAAAAAGAATCCAAATAGCACAATGCACTTTAACATTTAACTTTTAACAAAGTTGCTTTAAAACATGATTTTGGTTAAGTGATTTATTGAAGAGATACAAACTATATTTTAAACTGTATAAACTTACTTATTTCTTAAATGACTTTAAATATTGGAAATATCTATTATAAATTTATAAATGAAAGATGGCTAGACTGAATTATTTGAAATTAACAATCTTCAAAGTATGTTAATTTTATCTCATTATAGTATATATTAATATTGTTCTATTTTATTTATTTATACATACATTTGTTATTTTTGTTATTCTTCTGAAATCTTATTTGTCTATTTGTATTATTTCTTTGTATCTTGTATTTACTTATCAATCGATTAATTTAATCTATTATTTTAGCTTATTTCTTATTATAACTGTGTTAGATACATATAAAACAAATAATAAAAACAAACATTTATTCAATTTCTTTTTATATTTATTCTTTCAGTTTGTGCTTCTGGATGATTATTTACATGATCTAATTTATTTAATGTTCACTTTTACTTTGCTTTTTAATTCTAACATCATAAAAATATAACATATACAAACAATAGTAAAATTCTAATTGCGCATTAACTTTTGATTTGAAATCCCAATTCATAATTTTTCTTCTCGTGTATATTTTTTATAAAGAATTCTTAGTATGGCACAGCTTGCAATACAATATATATTTCATTCTTTATTATATGTTTAATAAGTGTTTAAAATTAAATGTTAACTATAATAAAAAATTGAAATAAATAGAATATCATGTATAGTGTTCATTTTGTATACTTGTATGGCTCACGTAACACCACTAATCATAAAATTCTAGACTGAAAAACTTCTATTTATTTTACAAAGTAAAAAGTCATAAGTTATGTCATTATCAAAAATAAAAGTAATTTGTTGCTAAAAAAAAACTTAATTATTGTACTTCCAAACCAAAACAAGTTACAAAATTCTGATTTAAGACTTGATAAAATTTCCTTCGACAAGCGATGGAATATAAACTTATAAAAACATATTAAAAGATATAATATTTATATACAGTAGTGTTATATCAGCATGAGGTGCAATGAACTGGCATGTGATTCTGTATGTAAAGTGCAACTGTTGCGTTCAACGTTGAAGAGTATTCTAATATTAAAAATTAATATTATATCTAATTATTGATACATGAATCATATATATACATCTATTTATATGATATTAGTATGATCAATTATGAGAATTATTGTTGACATAAGAGAAAATGTGTTTGTATATATTTATGTATAATATAATGAAATCCTATTATAGTTTTCATTATAACTGTAAGAAATTCATAATTGGGAACAGAATCGGTTATTCGGATCATATGTAAATTATAATTTCAGTGAATCATTTTTATAGCTATCCTCCTTATCCCACTTGTTCGTTTTGAAATTTACATATACTTTTTACCTTAAAACAGAGTTAGGTAGAACATTTGAATTATTTTTGTATTCATAATAATTGTTGCTTCAAGTTGTTTTATTAATTATTTTTATTACTTGTAAAAATATAATATTGCTAATTAAAATTCTTGCTAAATAATGCAAAAAAATAATATATATTGGTAGGAAAATTAAGAAAAATTAAATTTTTTCAACTTGTAATAAGAATTAAAGTTCAAAATAATGATAAATTTAATGGTACAATAAAATATTTAAAATAAACCAATAAACCAATTAAAAAAAACCAATTTACATTTTAAATAAATGAAAGTAAAAATATTGTACTTAAGTATAGAGATTACATGAGTGATGATTGAAATTATTTTGTGTATAATGATTTAACTCTATTAATTAATTCCTAACTCTGTTTAATATTTGTTAAAAATAAAAATTCAGTGAATTTGATTTAAATTAATCAAGCATTGGAGGTCGGATCATCGTAAACTCTGGGTAACCGATTTTCTGATTTTGCTTAAGATATTTAAGAGGTAATATACCTTCCATGAGCGACAGCTATTGTAGCTTATATATTTACATAATATACAGCGCCCAGTTTTTTATTAACAACTCAAGCACGACTTGTCTTTCCTATTGCATAATCAGATGTCGATTATCATAATTTGTACCTACATATGAGTGCTTGAGAGAAAATAGAAGACAAATGACCGCACAATCATGTACATTGAGGTCCACTTGAAGCGTCGCCAAACAATATCAATGTAGCATATAGTTCAATATAGCATTTGATGTATACACCCATTGTAATGAAAATCGACTAAATCATGTATGAATTTCTAAAGTGTGCACGTCGTATGTATGTCCACGATGCCAAGCCAACAATGTTTATATTTTGGAAGAAATAATAAGATAAACGAAAAATAACTTTTGCATTGAAAATAATATTTGATAAAAAAAAGAAAGAAAAAAATATATTAGAACGGAGGATTTCACAGAAAAAGAAATATTTTGGAATGCCAGCTGAAGCCAAATTTCATACAATGTAACGTTTATCTTCTAACTATCCCACATGTGATTACTAAGCTAGTTCTTTCAAAATATTGTTCTCGATATATTTTCGAAACGATTGCTTTTTTGTAAAAAATATCGGATTTTAAAGAAACATACATAAACATCCTTTACATATCAAATCTATTGATTTAGGTCTAGGAAATTATAAATAATCTATACTTTTTCGTCATTTATACGCTATACAAGGAAATACATGATATAAGATAAATTTGTATTCCGTTCGAAAAGAACATTATAAATACGTTGAACAACATATTTTTTCTATTGTTATTTGAATATATTTGTAGATAATTTACACAAATATTTATGTAAATCTATTTTTTGTTAATGTGCAAACAAAAATTTTTTACAAATTTAATACGTGAAAAATTAGAGTATGAAATATAACATACAACAAACAAAAAAATAATTTAAAGTACTTGATATGTACAATATGTTAAATATTCTTTAATATGCATAAGGCATTTATCACTTATAATAATTAATATCATTAAAGTTATTATATCAGAATATTATAACAGAAATTAAATAATTTATTTAACATATACGCAAGCTGTCACATTGTTGTCTATAGTATTTACTGAAAAGGAAACTATATTGCAAAGAGAAAAATCAGAGTAATATTGTTTTACATAATTCTAATTTTTTACAATTATATAATATTTTAACTAATGATAAATCTACAATTCAAGTAGGAAAATTGCAAATTCAATGTAACAGTGAAATGAAATTTTAAAAAAACACTTTGAAGGAAAAGAGATGTTAATATTTTTTAACAATGAAAATATGAAGTGCCTCCAATTTTCGTATCATTAACAAAACATATTGTTATTATGTTTGTTTCCTGTAAATATTAAAACTTTCATAATAATTTTTCTTTATCTTGATAATGATCACAGTTTCTCTTTTTTTAAAAACAATAGTTTTGAACTTTATTAATCTGTACATCAAAACATAAATTGATTCTGTATAATATTCTGTTTAATACCTTTTGTAAACACAAAAAGGAATATATACAAATACAACCATAAAATGTATATACTCTATAAGTGATAAAATTTTATCTGTATGCTCTATTAGTGTTGTTCTATAACTCCTGTAAGAAGTTGGCTTGGCTCCTTCCAAACACAGTATTAAACGATCTTAAGAACAAGTAGGATCGAATATACAATTTGTGAATTATTTTTGACTGAATTGTTTTTCAAAGAAATTCTTCCAAAATTACTAATTTTATTTCAAGAATTTCTAAAACAAAATCTAAAATCTATGTTTTTACAAGTACAATTATATAATGAGTGTTAACAGTAACACTTACAAACAGTTGGCAAATTAAAATTTTACATATATCAGTTATATTTTATAAATACTTTTCCAGGCATATAATCTAAGTTGTACTCATATGAGAACTTTATCTTATACTTTTGTAGCTGGTCGCTACAATTATGAAACACTTAAAGTTTAAAAAAAATTTGTTAGTGAAAACGTATTTCAATGGAAGCAAATTAAGCTTCTGCTGATTAATATCATAATATAATGGGACCGCATTAAAACTTTATAAGATATATATGTGCAAACATATAACATCAGCTTTTTATGAAATGTAAGAATGCCAACATTTTGCTAGTGTCGCCGTCAGTTTTCTTCCTGATTCTGTGACTCTGTTGAACTACTGATAAAAATGTAATTTATTTATTGTAAATAAAAACATATATTGCATAAAATGTTTTACATTACATAGTCTACATGGATGCACAGTTAACAAAATTTAGATAAATAGAATAAAAAAAGTTAACTCGTTTAAAGTTCACCAGGAATCATGAAATATATTTGAATATAATTTTTCAAGACATCACAAGTAAGAAAGTACAATTTTATGGATTATGTGGGATGGGAATAAATGTCTAATTTGCAATGATTCTGTGTGTATTATTTTATTAAAACTTACTTTATCTTACATAGAAATCAATACTTATTTACATATTTATGAAATTCATAATATTGCCCCTGTGTCAGTCACATTTATCGTGCGTCAAATACAACGACTAAATATTTATTAAGGAAAATATCTTGTGTTCATTATGTTTGCATGTACGTGTCGCATAGATAATACATATAAAGTATTTATGAGCTGTTTATTTTTAAAGGTGGCATAAATTACTTCACAATAATGAAAAATGATGATTTATTAACATCTATATTATTTATACTGAGAAATAAATATAAATGACTAAAATATAAGCATATCAGCATTAGCATCCAAAATAACTTGAAAGTTGGCAAACTTTTTTAGACATGTTAGAATATAAATCTGAAATATCTTAATTAAAATAGTGACGTGCCATTTTCAAAATAAACGCTCATATGTACTGCTCATATGTACTGCTAATATGATGTCTATCTTTTTAATTATGAAAGGATACGTCTTTTAGTTCGTTTTTTGTACATAATTCTGTATCCACATTCTCTGCATCTAATTGGATCCCTTGGTCGTATTTCATTATCATGATGACATTCTACAAAGCAAAAAAAAAAATATTTTTATAATAAAATTTGTAAATATACAATAAATACTTCAAGATAATCAATGTACAAAAATTATTTATTTTAAAAATAAATTTATATTTCAGTTGTCAATATTTAAAAATATAAATAGAAATGTGATATATAATAGATAAAATTTACAAATATAGCAATAAACTGACAATACACTTCAATTCTCTTCAGTTAAATTTTATTATTTATCAGTTTAAATTCTCATTAAATAAATCATACAATAAAAATGAGAGAACAATAAAAATAGATAATATATATATCTCACGTGCAAATTATGCATTTTTATGCAAATTTTCATAAACACAAGAAATTAAGATTAGAGATTTATCTGTAACATTATATATTATAATAAATGATACAGCTTGAATATTTTATATTATTTTGTGCATTATCGTATTTTTATATTTCGCATAATTGCATAAAAATTTAGTCTACTTATGCGACATGTCAGTTAAAGGTTAGAATTTTGTTATAATACGTTTTTAATCATTTACCTCCGCAAACGTACACCATAGCTTGTTTCGGCGTCGATTCTGACTTGCTTGATTCCATTTCAAGCGAATTTCTACACAATATTGCTTAATACTTTACTTATACTGCGAAAGAAGTTTGCTCAAAAATGCACAAACATCAAATGACGTGCACCATGTACCGTATACCGTACACAAAGGAAAAAGAGGGGGAAAGGTAGATCTATGTATTTCTCAATGTTAGTATTTGTTATTATTGTATTTGACAGTATATAATATTTGATATATTTCTTTAATTATAATATATATTTCTAATCTATTTCTTTAATTATATATTATATTATATTATATATTTCTTTATTTATATTATATTATATTATATTTATATTATTTTATATTATATAATATATTTCTTTAATTATAATTAAGGCTATTGAACTGCTAGATTAAATTAAATTAATTTTAAACAAATTTTCAATAATTTTCAACAAAATTCAAGTTTGCACGAACGTTTTTATTTTTTTCAATTTTGATAGGTTCTTCGAATTATGCAACACACTAGATCGTATTTATTTCGGACATAATTCGATAAATATGAAATGAAATGAATTTCATCAAACCAAACGAATATTCTCATACATAAATAGTATTGAAGATTAATTAAAATTTTTTCATAACTTTCTTTTTCTTTTTCTGTACTTTAATAAGCCAATTACGTTACGTTATGTTAGAGTAATATCGCTATGACCTTTTGGTAGCACTGCAGGCATTTACAGTCCGCTTATAACTAGATTTGAATTTGAGTTAAATCAGAACAACGGTTTTCGGCTCGTGGCATGTATTAAACATTCGTCATATCTGTCAAATACTCTTGTTATTAGTTTTAAGATAATCGAAGAGAAATATAACTGTATCAGAAATGAAGTCTACGTAAGTTATAAGTCCTATTGCATTTTTTATCTAGTTTACAAGTGAAATTAAACGAAGATTTTCTCCATTATTAATAATTGGTCATTCAACAATATTTTGCACAATAATTGAAAATATTTGTGACATGTTAACATTTTAGACGCGTGAAACCACCAGGTTCAACTCGTAAGCCAAACCGTCCAAAGGGTAATAATATGTTATCTAAAGATCCAGTTCAAGTATTTTGTCGTTTAAGGCCAATGCAACATCCTGCTGATATCTCTTGTATGAAGCTTGTATCTGACACAACTGTAATTATTACACCACCAGAATCAGCAATCAATTTTCGTAATTCCAATAAGGAAATCCAAACAATATTCAGTCATGTATTTCCACCAAGTGCGACACAAAAGGATATTTTTAACATAGTTGCCATTCCATTAGTTGAAAATGTCATTCGTGGTAGAAATAGCCTTTTATTTACGTATGGAGTAACAGGCAGCGGTAAAACGTACACCATGACTGGTGAAGCGCAAGACGCAGGCATAATGCCCCGTTGCCTTGATGTTATTTTTAACAGTATTGCCAATTATCAGACAAAGAAGTTTATATTCAAACCAGATAAGTTGAATGGTTTTGATGTACAAGGTGAAGCTGATGCGATGCTTGATAGACAAAATGAACTTCATGCTGGGCTTATGTCGCAAAAAAATGGAAAGTCTGGCAAGCCGTAAGTTCAGGAATGATATGCATTCTATAATGTAAACATTTTTATTAACGGTTAATGGTTTTTGCAGGAGGAAGGCGGAGTATGACAGTGATAGTAACCCAATGGTGATTCACGATATTGAGGAATCACAATTAATACAGGTAGATCAAGACACTGTCTATGCAGTATTTGTTACCTATGTTGAGATTTATAACAACAGTGTATACGATTTACTAGAGGACGAGGATATTAGAAACAAGTATAATGTCAATTTCTATAATATTATTTATAGTATCATTCAAGTGTTTTCAATTTAAATTACTTCAGTTTCAAATATTATTTTGATGCTAAGAGAATTTTCAGGGCGTTGCAGAGTAAAATAGTTAGAGAGGATGGCAATAAGAATATGTATGTACACGGGGTAACAGAAATTGAAGTAAAAAGTTCAGAAGAAGCATTTGAAGTATTCCAGCATGGACAACGAAGACGAAGAGTTGCGCACACTGCGCTTAATGCAGAATCAAGCAGATCACACAGTGTCTTTACTATTCGTCTTGTACAAGTAATGTTTTAATTATTTCACATTTTATCTAATTAATATTCACAAACAACATAGCGCAATACTTTCTTACAGGCACCCTTAGATGGTGAAGGTGAACAAGTTATACAAGATAAACGAGTAGTATGTATTACTCAGCTGTCTTTGGTAGATTTAGCTGGTAGTGAAAGAACTAATAGGACTAAAAATACAGGTCAACGATTAAGAGAAGCAGGTATCTCAGATGTGATTCTAAAATATTATGATAATATTTTATTATATTTTCATAAAACATTAATTTTTATTTAGGAAACATTAATAATTCCTTGATGACGCTACGATCGTGTTTGGAAATTCTAAGAGAAAACCAGCTTCAGGGTACAAATAAAATAGTACCCTACAGAGATTCAAAGCTCACTCATTTATTTAAAAATTATTTTGATGGAGAAGGACAAGTTAGAATGATTGTTTGTGTGAATCCAAGGGCAGAAGATTATGATGAAACAATTGTAAGAAGACAATCAATAACGTGAGATGTGAACATATAAAAGAAAATGAATTAATTTATTCATGTTTCACAGCAAGTGATGAAATTTGCGGAAATGACTCAGGAAGTACAAGTAGCTAGACCAATAATTACAAAAGTAGATCTTGGTTTTACACCTGGAAGAAGACAAGCAAATAAGGTGAGTAAAAGAGTGACAATAAAGATAATTTTAAATATATGTGTATAATGAAAACCATTTTCAATAGTTGTTCAAAGAGGCACGTAGTAAATTAAAAAGAGAAGGCTATCCTGAGGCTGAAGATTTAGAAGTTGACGTTGGTTTAGTGTATAAGTAAGTATTATATGTTTCTTTCTTTAATTCTTCTAACTTATATAATTTCATTCAGTTTAGGGGGTCCATTTCCTGAAGATATTAATTCTTCGCGTAACGATGAAGTAATTAATAATTTAATACGGTTTTTGGAACAGCGCATCAACAAACGGAATGTACTACGTGCTGATTTAGAACAAAAACGTAAGAATATAATTTATTTTTTAACAAAATTTAAATTATGCATAATGTCGTCGTGGTATCTATACATTTACAGAAAATGATCTTAGAAAAAAGATAATTACAATGGAACAAGAACATATTAAGTTAAAAATTGAAAACGCATCTCTGAAAGCTGCGAATTCACAACAAAACAAGAAGGTAAGAAAAGAGAATTTCATTGATTGCAGAGTAACGTATAAAATAATTCGCATTTTCTATAGGTTTCTGCATTAGAAGGTCATTTATGTAAAACTGAAGAACAAATTGACAGCTTACTCCGAAAATTAAATAGCGCAAATGATACAATTCGTTGCCTACAGCAAGAGGTAATTAACAAATGTATTTGTATTTAAATGATTGAATGTTACGATTATTAATTTACAGTTGAAAGATAGAAACATGGCATTAAATCAACGTTTAATAGATAAGCAAAGGGTGAAACAAAAGTACAATACCAAAATGCAGGTAGAAACTGATAAAATGAATAAGGAATTAGAAGTCAAGTTACGTCAACAACGTGAAGAATTACAGGTAATAATATAAAGTAAATATAACACATAAATTTATTGATCAAAAATATTTTTCTTTTTTAGAATCAAATGAAAGAGAAGGAGAATAAGTTAAGATTAGTAAAGAAAATTTTAGTTGATGATAATGTATCTGGTGCTTCTAAAGATTGTGCAACACCTAGTTCAAATTTTGTAGAAGCAACTCCAAAAACAGAGGGTCGATCACGAAAAGTCAGTTCTTACTTTATTATTAAATAATTTATTTTTGAACGTAATTTAATGATTTATATTCACAGGATAAAGCAGCTGTTGCGAACCCGAGATATAGACGATCACAAAGCGCTGATAAGTGGATTGATCATAGGCCAGGAGCACTTGTTCCTGTTGGAACCGTTCTCCAACCTTTAATGCGTAGGAGACGTAGCGTTACACGACTTACAAGTCCAAAAGAAATAACAGATGGTGCATCTAGATATTGTCTGGTCGCGCAAGAACACGATACCGATGGTGAACTTGAAACGAAGTTATTCAAGGTAATTGTATTTAAAAGAAATCGAGATTATATAATTATATATTATAAAATGTATACTATTATTACGTTAGGGAGATATAATACCTACTAGTGGAGGAGGTGCACAAGTTGTATTTAATGACATGGAATGTCTGAAACAACTATCTCCAAAGGCAAGAAAACGTAGTGGTCCACAAGATATAGAAAATGGAAATGAAATAGGCTCTTCAAATCATTCATCTATGCACGCAGAGTTCCATTCCAAACGCCCACGTGTAGTAAATTAATAAAAATAATAGTAATGGTAGAAAAAATATTAATATGAACAATTAAGAATAATGAAATGAAGTCAAGAAATTTTTACACCATAATTGTAATTTTATTGATAAATCATTGTATACAAAAGCATAAAATACTTTATATTATGCATAATTAACAAAGTTGTAACAAATGAAATGAATTAATTAACTGATCAAAAACTATGAAGTATAATAGCTTAACTAGTATAATATAACTAGTTAAAAAAATATTAATTCTGTAAAATAAGAATCTTTTTATATTATTTTTATTATTTTACAATAATTGTGTGTGCGTATGCTGTGCGTATGTTATTTAATTAAGAACTACTCAATCTTTATATACAAATGAAACAGTATTACAATTATATTTATTGAATTAAATAAAAATTCTACTAAATTACAATGTTCTAATTATTTGCAGTTAAATTTATAGCTTGCATTCAAAGTAAAAAAATTTACCATGCATTAAATACAATAACTAAATACTTATTAAAGAAAATAACTTCATATAATTATATGTATCTAAGATGGGGACATTCTAAAGAAGAGTACATCCTTTAGTTTGTATTTTATACATCCTACTTTGTACATGATTTTCCTATATTCTCTAAATCGAATTGAATTTCTTTGAAATATTTCAAATAAATAATTTCAATTTGAAATATTTCAATAAATATGATATAATAATGAAATTTAGAATGATACTTTTATGATATAATAATAAAATCTAGAAATACTCGACATATAAAAATATTGGTTGTTATATTAAAAATAATGAAGTTCAACAGTTATATCACATATGATAAAAGTATAGAAATATTAAATTTAATAAATGAAATATATAAAAATGTTAACACACGAATGTTTTTGAAAATATTAACAGACATTGAGATGACATATTGACATTAACTAAAATAATTTTATAAATATGATATTTTTACTGTCGTTACTTAATTAGAATGTTAACCGCTATTTAAATTGTAAATAATGTAATAATAAAAAGACATTATTCGTACAAACTTTATGTATACTCGAAATGCGCAATAAATTTATACGATATAAAATGTGAGGTTAAAACTTTTATCTTGGCGCGCTTTTAATCATGTCTCCGCAAACGTATACCATAATTTGTTTTGAGACCGATTCTGATTTACTAGATTCCATTTTTAATCAAAAATTTTGTTTGCAGAAAGATTTATTCACTAATTTATCAGTACACAAAAATATTGCACAGATAAGAAAATATTCAGTGGACATATACATGTGTATATATATATCACATGATTCGCGAGTTGTGAAACATTCGTTACTATTATCAATTTAATAAAGAACAAGTTTTATTATATTGTATTTACATACAATTTATTCAGATTTTCATTAATTTATTCATAATTATTAAATTTGAAATAAGTAGCATTCTGTTATCAATTTAAATAAAATTTTTTAAGATAAATTATAGATTTAAAGATCAGTTGGAAATGATAGATCCTTTGAAACGTAGTCGCTATTTATTATTCTTTTGCAACACTAATTGATCATAGTAATGAATAATAATAAAAACAGATACATTATGGTTTTTGCCCTTGTGAATTATTGAACTTGTTCCCACTTGTACATGCCAATAATGATAACAAAAGGTACTATTTTTCCCTTTCTCTTTTTACATTCTTTTAATCTTTTTGTAATTTTTGCAATTTTCGAAAACGAGTAGTTTCGATATTATTGATTAAGCGCATTTTGTTAACAATTTTTTAAATTCATTAAAATTCAGTAAAATACGCCAAAAAATTTTTTTTAAAATTCTAAAAATGTATAAAATGGGAATCTGTAAGATCTTATATAGCAATTATTTCCCTTAATCGTCTAATTCTAAAAATACATAAATAAACATCTTTAGGATTTTATTCAACAATTTTTTTTTTTTAATTACTTAATTTTTCCGGTAAATGTTACAAAAGTTCAAACAAATTTTAAATTATGTCGTGATGATAATATATAAAAACAATAAGATTTCTTAACATGATGAAATATTTCGTCATATACGATTAATGGGTTAATAAGAGATTAAATTTGTCATTAATATGAAATAAAAATTTTAAATATACTATTATTTCACATTTTAATAAAAGTATTTTTATATTAGTCTTTTTTTCTAAAATTCAAGTAATTCGAAAAAGCACGACAAACAACACGTCTCTACAAATAATCCTGCATCTGCTTGTCTAGACTGTTTAGTATACGTATCACATCTGCACACTCAAATCAATCAAAGTACAGTACGAACTGCTGAAACTCAGTTTTCAATAGGTCACATTCACTGATGAATTAAGATCAATGTTTTTCGTATGAATAAATCTGAGTTATGAATTTCGCGTGACTATTAGATTCATTGAGTTAATTAATGGTATTCTTATTTGGCTGAATATATTTAACATAAATACATATAAATATACTAAAAACACGAAACTAAAATATTTTAATTTACAAAAAAAGGAAAATCATTACATTTGAAAATTTTTGTCTTACATACGAATTAAATCATGAAGAAATTGAAGAAAGAGAAAATTGAAAGTAAATCAAAAATACTGTGCAAATCAAAAATATTTATTATAAAAGTACAAAAAGTTTCAATACCGTCGAAGATTCTTTCTAAAATATTCGATAAATTAACGGTTAATAGAACATTAACATGAAAATCAATGATTATGTAACAGGTGTTCATTATAGAATATATTTTACATCAGATACAAATTTTATCACATTTAATAATTACAGATACTAAGTGTATTCAAAATTAAAATACATTATCCCGTTTCAGTTGCTTCTGCGTATCGACGCATATAAAGTTGATATACAATAATATATTTTACTACATTTCACGCAGCGCAGAAATTCAAAAGAAACATATGTTGCTCGGACGTATCATTCAACGATCGAATAGACGTTAATAGAATGATCTTACAATTTAAAATTTAAAGAGAAAAAAACCAATCGAACAGTTTCTCCTGCTTTACTGAAACAAAATTTAATTGACTTAGAAGAAGAATAGAAAAACAGAGAAAATCGGCGAGATTTTTGTACGCGCGCTACAAAAGAGAAATCAACAGATCTCCCCAGCAACAGAGTCCGACGAGTCCGAGCAGCAGCCGTCAGAGGTAAATTTTTAAGCCAATGGCAGCGCTTGGTAACGAATCGGCGGGATGAGCCGAGCCAGCTGATTGGCCGAGCGATCGCCAAGGGAGCCACGATGGGACAACGGATAAACAGACTTAGTAGTTTTGTAGTGCTCGCTACGCAGGGACATGCAGAGGGAGAGTCGATGCCTGGTGTGCGCATGTTCCGCCGTGGGTCCTTACGCAGTGAAAGATTCAATGTTCGTGCGGGTGTAATTGTCGTTTGTCATGTGATTCTGGACACTAACCGCAGTATGTCACGTCGAAATAACATCGGCGAGTGAGACACAAGTGTACGTTGAACGTCGTTTCACTGGTTAAACCGAACCGGCGGCTTTTGTTTACAAAGAGGAGGGGAGGGGCAACTTGCACGAGGTACCCGGAGCGTGGATGCTGACTGCCAGGCAGTTTCCCGCGCGACGCACGTGAGTTGGGCGAGCCTGACGAGGACCCATAACCTCAAGAAATAAATTCGGCAGGTGTGATGTACGGTGAATCGTCAAAATGTCAATGTGGTGAAACGTTTCGTTTCCTGTTGTAAGGATCGTAGAGAACTGAATATGCCCGTTGTTCGAGAACGTCCAATAACTCCATGTGAAACGAGGTAGTTTTCGTGTTCCCCGCTTTGTTCAGAGAGAGAGAGAGAGAAAAAAAAAGGCGCGAAAGATGATGGACGAAATGGAGAATATTAACGTCAACGAGACACCGCGCATCTCGATAAATTCGACAAATCGTAGCTGGTATGACAGCGTTGATAGCGGTTACGTGTCCCTCACTCCTCAGTCCGGTGGCTATACGCCGATTATTTCAGGATACAAATCCAGGGTGTCATGTATCTCGTCGAAGAGGCATCACAGAATACGATTAGATCCTCTTCAATCGGATTTGCGTACCCAGAGGCACAGTACGCCTCAAATGATAACTCAGGTCTCGCCCAGGCGGAAAACGTCGTCGCCGGTACCACCGTCTCATATCGTTCTGTCGCCAAACTATATAAACGCTAGTCCACCGATTAGTTCGACGGACACTCAAAAGCCAAGTAAATACCCGATTACGAGTCTCGCTACGATCACCGAGATCAAACCAAAGAGGTTGGACTTCAGTCATTGCGCGTTGTCCGGTGCTTTGCATTACACAAGAGCCACGCCGGATTACACGGGTAGAGAAACGGTGGATATATTGTCGCTTCTTGGCGACAGGAGCAATCATTGGAGAATCGTGTCCAAGATACTGTCGTTTCTCGGGCCGCAGGATCTCTGTTCGGTCAGCATGGTGTCGAAAACGTGGAGGACAATTTGCATGAACGACTCGAAAGCCAATACCAGAAGACTGATCCACGTAATACTCAGAAAGAACGTCAAAGAGAATCTGAAGCTGATCAAAAAGTCGAAGATAGAGGGGGACATTCAAAGCAGCCCTAAAAGCAGGTACGCCAGGAAAGGATATTTGCTCGAGGTGCAGAATCTTCTTCAAGTACCGGGGAACCAGCTACCACCTGGCAGTCCACCTGTTTCTCCCAGCAAAGTGAAATTTCACTCTTTCGTCAAGGTAAGTGAATTTTTCAATATATTTGTCGTCAAATGAGTTTTCATTGTGGATTTCCCATTCGAAGTGATATCTAAGAATAATCGTACATTGCATCTTGTTAGGTGCAGAATAAACAGAAATAAGTAGATGTTAAACGTAACTTGAATTATTCTACATTGTTTCGAATTAGTAAACTTGGTTACATTTATTTTATGTGAAATTCTACTTTATCGACAATAAATTTAACGACACGTGATAATGTGTAAAGTAAGAAATTAACTTGAATTGTTGGTTCATTAACCTGTGTGAGAAACGTGAGAAAAAGCACCGGCGACGTGTATTCATTTCCTACGGCGCGAACGTTGCGCATTTAAACACAAAGTTTCTCTCTGGGGATCGTATTCGATCCCTGTAAAGAAAGAAAATATATGTCTACATCAGTCGGAGTAGTGTTTTTCTCGGTATTCGAGTAACAAGCAGTCAAATTTCAATGAGAATTTATTGCACTTCTTATTGTTAAATATTGAGTCTCGAAAGAATTTTATTTTCGATAGCGCAAGTTGCGTTGATTTGAATTGAATTATTTATTAAAAAAAAAAAAAGAAACTCGAAAACTTTGTTCTTACTACGGTTAAGAATAGTATAATGTCAAACTTAATTTTACAATTTAGCATCGATTTATAATTTTGTTTCTCGAAAAGTTTTTTTTGTTTCTAATTACTTTTTTAATTATGAAACTTATAAATTAATACAAATTAATACAAGCGAGTTCGATACAGGTATTGATATTTAAAATGAACACGCAATATTACATCGAAATGAAATTGCGTAGTTAAGTTTTAACGCGTCACTCGAGTAGATTTTTTTTTAATAGATAATTCACAGTCTGCTAATTCCATGAGGAAATAGTAAATGATGTCAATGATTTAGAATCAATGTAACTTATTTTAATTTTATTTGAATTCTAATTTTCAACATTACAAAATAGACATTACAAAAGATGATTTCAACGATTCTCTTGATATTTCATTTCAATGGCTCTAGAACAAACTAAAAAATATTTTTTCTACCTCATATTGCATTTAGACATTATTTCGCGGTTCGATTTTTAATCGATTAATTCATTATTAATTCACAGAGGTGAAATTAACCTAACTGACAATTCCAACGTTCATGATTGCGTGCTTGAGTACATACAAGCGGTAGAGAGTAACTAATTACATTGTGGTTTGTGGTGAGGCGAAATTCTCCGCATTACAAGCATAAATGTGTGTATTCGTAATACACACATAGTGTCGCATTTTATTGAATAATGATGTATATATGTATACAATATTCTGCGAGCTCGATTAAGGAGACGAAGAGATATCCGATATGAAATATCGTCAGCCGTATCTAAACCTATAATTAGGCTGCTTGTATATTTTTTTTTTTTCCTCTCTCCCGTCATCACTGCGCTGTCTAAGTCCGTACTTTTACGAGCAGAATTTCGGAGAATAATTACGCAGTAGTAATCGATTCGAACCCAGTAGTCCAGGCTTTCTTTTAACTAACCTACCGCTTGTATCATACCTAGTCGATGTAATTTGCACATGAGCGAACGAACTCGAATTCGAATTAAGCAACATAATTGTTTCGTTGGCGAGATCGTCTGTTTGACGTTGATTTATTGTGATTTCTTCTTTGAAATGCCGCTGGCTCGTCAACAGCGACGACGGTAGACACATTCAACCCTGAAAAATCGCCCTCTCGCGACGGATGACGAGCTTTCGACGCGGCAAATTCTGCGATCGCTAGGGCTAATTTAAGCGTGTCAAATGAAGAAAAATAAGAGTATAAGAAAAATTTCTCGAAAAGTAATTATGAAATAATACATGAATATATATATATTAATAATATATTAATATTAATATCAAATAATTGTACATGTTTAAAGAACATATGTTGTTGCTAAAATTACATAATTGACTCCGATAGTAATATTTCGTTTTTTATGGAATATCTGTAAGCAAACGCGTTTGTCACTACATTCTTCTTTCACTTCAGTTTCTTGAATTGTAATTCCAATGAAAGAGAAAAACATACAAACATTTATTGTTATTATCTTATATTTATTTCATTTAATCATACAAATATTTTTCTTCTATACTCAAATGACCTCGTCCCCTTCTTTTTATGGATTAATTAAAGTTATTACAGAAGATGATTCAAAGTCAAATATTTTTCATTCAGAAGTGTATATTATGATATGAAAGAACAGATTTAATAATTTTCGAGTTTTCTTCAGAAATTTGACCATACAAATAATTCTCAACCCTAATGATGTTTACACATTTTTCAAGCTTGTGTAATTGGATTTTTGTTTGCTTGCTAGTAAATTATCTTTTTGAGTTGATCTCTAGGGCGCTTGCTTGTTTCTCTTCATTCAAGCATGTAATGGTAACTACCTGCTATTTGCACTTTCAGCTTTCATCGGTGTGCATTTCTTCTCGCGGCCGAGTCTGGCGATAGCAGTAGATTAGTAGGCGGCCGCTTTGTTATCGCGGCGCGAGTAACAAAAGCTCTCGAGAGGCACGGCATGCGGTACTTTCAACGTTTGCATCCACGCACTGCGATAATAAAGTATTCGTCAATCTCTTTATTAAACGAATTAGCATTGCATTCCGCGAATTAATTTCCTACAGTCTTGCTGAATGATCATCCCAACTTCAGATTAATTACTTCTGTATTTTTATCTTGCTGCTAATATCGCAGTGGATATATTTTTGTTTATATAATTTAGTATATATATTTTTATATATACAATTTGGTGTGTGTGTGTGTGTGTGTGTGTGTGTGTGTGTGTGTGTGTGTGTGTGTGTGTGTGTGTGTGTGTGTGTGTGTGTGTGTGNTATTTAGTGGATATTTGGTAGTTGAGTATTAAGTAAGGGACCTAAGCACCGCCACGTTCGTTTCAAGAAATCGAAGAATCTTTTTTTCTTTCCTTTTTCTTACATTTTGCACGCATAGAAACTATATACTAGAAAGATCTATCTAAAAAAATTCGAAAATTATTTGAGAAAAATCTGAACCTTAATTTTACTTTGTTTCGGATAACATATCAATCGAAAACTGTAAAGAAACTGTAAATCTGTTTTCCATGAAACTATATTTTGCGATTTAGATTAAGAAAATATCTAAAATGGTTGTGTACTATCCTCTAACATCCACAATGATAGATAATTTAGTAATTAATCGCACGATCACAAATTGCAATTTATATTAGGGAAAAGCTTGTCGACTAAATATATTTATTCCCCTGTCAATGGATTCTTGTTTTCTGTTATTATTTAATAGTAAAAAAAAAGAAAATGCATTTGTGATTTATTTATTGGTCTTCGTTCCTTACAATTCGCAAAATACTAAGTACTGCGAACATATTTAGAACATTTATTAACATTCGACTTCGCCTTATCGAAGTGAAAAGAGTAGACAATGTAATATGATCCGGTTCTTGGCCTTCGAATACGATTTATATCTAAATCAACCCAGTACACGTGAAACGAAAGTCGAGTACATATTGTGTTACGATCTTAATTTGAAAATAATACGATGATGGACAAAAATTCTGTGTAAATTATTTGCATAACACAATAACGTTAATGTAGGGAGGCAAAGGGGTAAATTCAACATTACTCGAAAAATGCGAGGGAAAAGATAAAATGTGAGATGGAGGTTTGAATGAGACGTTATATTAATCTATCTAATCTATTTTGCATAATTGACAAGAAACTGGCGCTACCGCGGGGCCCCTTTTCGATCCGATCTCGATCTTCACCGCGAAACCCGGCGTATAAATATAATTCGCGCTTTCGTGGGGGTAGCGCGTGTTAACATTTTCATGCGAATATACACAAGGCTGCTTTATGTTCCCTCGAATAAAATGAGTCGGGTAGTCAATATATCACGAGTGAGAAGGGGAGGGTTCGGAGAGGGAGGCTCTGCTCTTTTCTCTCTGCATCAGAGACGCAAGGAGTCTTTGCCTTTGGAGGGCAAGCCGCCGTTAGCCTTCGGCAAAAACCGGCCACGGAGAACAATGCGAATATATTACGGTATTCGATGCTAAAACAAAGAACCAAGCTGCTCTTTCCTTTGTCTTTTACGGAGGGGGTTATATCGAGATGCGACACGGCGAACCGTATCCCGCGGTTAACCGAGATCGTTCCACGAAAATCGTCGTCCAAAAAAATTCTCCCTAAACGCAATCTCCGTATTTTCATGGTATCGATTTAGTGAAAAATTTGAACGATTGAAATTAAAAGCATTGGAAATTGGAAGAAATTCTTATATTCTTATTCAAAGTTTTGTTCTTCCATCGAATATCTCAAAATGTATAAAATATAAGTTGTGCAGCAAGTTCATTCGTCTTTTTAGTGTTATATTTTGAGGAATGATATAAAAACTTGTTACTTACGTTGGATAGATAAGTATAGCAGCGTGAATAAATGTTGCTTGTTAATTTAAAAATTACTCACAACAAACATTCTCAAGCAAATTTATCACAACTAAATAAATTTATAATTTACAATTTAACAACCGATGTGTTAAACTAATTAGATAATAAGGCTAACTTTGAACCAAGTCAGTCTTATAAATCTTGTAAATCATACGATACCAATAAAAACCAATTGAATCATTTAGTTATTCGAACGTTGTCTCGTGTTTTGTTTCGACTCGTTTGCAACCTCGGTCAACCTTGAGAGATGCCGTAGAAATTTCTTCCCTGCGGCAAGAAATTGACGTCAATCCCTGCATGACAAGGGAGAAGGGTTCAAATACATATTTCTCTCTCCCTCTCTCTTATTTTCATAAGGATTCGTTATCTTTTAAACTGAACCATCGTGAGAGTTTCGCACGATGTGTAAACCTACACCGAGGCAGAGAAAGACCCTTGGTGTGCGACGTTCCTCCTGCACCTAACCTCCTCCGTCTCTCTCTCCAAAGGGACAAAAGCTTCGTTGTCCACTCATGGAAGATACGTTAGCTGCACGCAGAGAATGTGCAATTAAATAATTGCTTTTGCTCGACGGTTGATCCGTTCTGGTTGGTAACCGATGCAGTGACTTGAAATAATGGTTTCCTTAAAAATGATGGTGCGAGAAAGAAAAGGAAGGAAGGAAGGAAGGAAGGAAGGAAGGAATTGTTCCATAATTAGCAACGGCTAGCGAGGGTCGTTGAGTGGTGGTTGTATAAGTAACAGTTGGTGCGGTCAGTTTCCTGTCGCTTTTGTCGTAAGGAACCTTCCTTATCCAGGTCCTTTTTCCGGTGGTTACTTTGAAACTGTCACCGGTGTGAAGTTGTGAACGTATCAGTCCAAATCTAAAGTGATTTTTCTTCAATGACAATTGATCAGTTTCGAAGGATTCGGTTCTGCTGCGACTTGAGGATTTTTATATCTCAATTGTTCTTTTTTTTAACAAATAAATATATTTAATATTTTAAGGAAATTAATGATACGATATTCAAACGAAGAATATAGATTATAATTTATATTTTTGATATATTAATATTATATATATATACATATTTATAATTATAATTTATATATATCTAATATATTAATGTCAATAATATTAATTGATACATTATGTATTTAATATTTATAATTTATATTTGATTTACACTTTTTATACCTTTTATTGTAATTTATATTATTTTTATAATATAATTTATATATCACATATACAATATTTGTATATTTGTAATAACAGTGTACTAAGTAAATTTTTAAACAAATTATTCCAATGTCAATTCCAATTTAGAAGTTGTTACAATGCTGTTTCGAATTTCTTTTGTTTCCTTGAGAAGCTTTGTCCTTTTGTTTCCTTAAGAAACTGTTAAATTCAGAAAATTTCTTAATAACGGAGAGATGTTGAATTGAAAGTAACAGTAAAAGTAACTGACAATAGGAACTGACAATAGTAACTTAAAGCCTTTTGACAACTTTTTCGAGCTGAAATTTATTCTTCCAATAATCAGAATACTTATTTTAATATAAATGAAAATTAATTTAATAACGCTGTTATAAACAAATACAAACAAAATCAAGACATCCTTTTTAGAAATACAATTTACAAATTTAGAAATACATTGAAATAAAATAAGCGTATTAGAAAATAATTCGCAAAAATTCTATAAATGTTTAAACATTAATTTTTGTTAGCCACTGTACAGAAAGTCCGAGAGGAAATGCGTTGCAATGGTATTGCAGCAGTATTATCACGTGCACATATTGACCCAGTAGTACGGAGCACCTGGCCAGGTGTATCCTTCGTTTCTCACTGCTTCATGAAGCGTAAAGTGATCGGGTAACGGTCGAGCAAAGCGATCTTTTTATACCAAACTGAAAATCGTGAATGAATTTCACGTAAAGTACAGTATAACAAGATAAGACTGTGAGAATCGTAGGACATTGACACCAGCTGGTCTTAAGACAGTCCGTTTTAATTTAGCCGTAAATTAGAAACGTAATTGCGTCTCTAGACGTTTGCCATAACTGCAGTGCTAATTAACGTTTGTCATTGTCGCGTGAATTTGCAAATCGACTTGATTAACGACGAGGTTCGATTTGTCGCGACTGTTGTATCGAAAATGAGCTTTGAAAAGGGAAACGGAATTTTAGGTTGATAATAATTTTTAGTTCGTTGTTGCAAGGAAATACTTTGTTTTATTAATATAAATAGTAATAATAAAAAAGTTTGATGGATAGTTTCTGTCACATCATTGTTTTTGCGAAGTTATATATTTTATGTGATGAATTTTATATCCTTTTAACAAGTTCAAAATATTTTTCATGCATTCGAATGAAATAGAAATTAAATAGAAATTTATTTCATTGATTAAATATCTGTGATATTAGATATTTTATTTATATTAATTTTGTGCCTTCCAGAAATTTTCACATGCTTAAATTTCCTCAAAATTCTCTGCAATTTGGTAATAACTTCAGTTTCGTTTGTTTTATGTTTAAATATTTGTATAAATATTATTTAAATAATTAATACTTATTAATATATATCAATGTAACTTTTAGAACACTTGTCTCTTTGTATTAAAAAAAAAATCAAAACAGGGAAAAAAAATAATATACATTACAAAAAATATAATGCAATTTGGAAATGACTTCAGTTTTGTTCATTTTATGTTTAAATATTTGTATAAATATTATTTAAATAATTAATATATATCAATGTAACTTTTAGAACACTTGTCTCTTTGTGTTAAAAAAAAATCAAAACAGGGATATAAATTACAAAAAATATAATATAATTTGGAAATAACTTCAGTTTTGTTCATTTTATGTTTAAATATTTGTATAAATATTATTTAAATAATTAATATATATCAATGTAATTTTTAAAACACTTGTCTCTATGTATTAAGAAAAATCAAAACAGGGAAAAAGAAATAATATAAATAATACAAAAAATATAATGGGCAAGAAATTGAAATTTTTAAATAACATATATATATATATATATATATATATATATATATATATCAATTTTTCAAGAAAATAATTATACTTTATTTACAGTATAGTTATAGTATGTATAATATAACAGAGTTATAACTTATTTAAATTTACTGACGTTAGGTTAGATTATTTATGTTTCTTGCAATGTAGAATCACTCCCTGACCGGTTCTACCGCTATATCGCAGAGAACCTCCTATACATAAAAATTACGTAGACAACATTTTGGCAAAGATATTTAATTCGACTTTTATTTGCATTCTTAATACAAGTCAACATCGGACGAAGTTCAAACAAGTTAATTCGCAAAAAAATTTGCGTGTACCTCCGTGGTCGTTAGCAGCGAAGAAGTAATACAAAGAAATAATTACGCATTCATGAAATTCAAGGAGGATGCACATTTGTAAGCGAGACGTAAGCACCATTCGACACGCGGCATCGTTCCTGCAACCCAATGAAACTTCTATCGTTTACAAAAAGGATACGTTACGTTAAACGGCTAGAAGGGATTCGCGGAATTCGCAAGCTATTCCTTGGGGGACATATATCGGGGTAGAAGTTTACACTGTATAATCATAACAGTGAACACAGTGTCGATAACGTAACTCTGTGTTCAACCACGATGGGAGGATGTAGCCAACTTTACTGTGTGGCAAGGTTTGCACAAATTTTATTTGAAATAAAGATGAAAACGAAATGACAGTTTGAAATAACGTGAATTATTCCAACTAGTTATTTTATTATTTTCGTATAAATAATTTGGGATTTAGCATTGATTAATTTACATGACGCTTGTTCTCAGGATAGTTTCAATTTTAATTATCCTTGAACGCATGCGTTCACTAAGATCAACATCTTTTCGCGTGATTGAAATTTTTTTGATCGTCGAATGTCAAAATAATATGGAAAATAATGATTTACTATCAAATATGCACGTATTTAATGAATCTACATAATGAAAATAAAAATAAAATAAACATAACACGAAGTAAAATATAAAATAGATCTCTATGACAAATATATTTAAATAATCATTTTTGTAAATGGTTTTTTGCATACTCTGTGATTTTTCTTTCAATCAAAGAAATTTCGAGTTGGAAAAAAATTTATAAAAGAAAACAACTCTGAGCGTGAAGAATCATCAACTAACAAGAATAATTGTAGAATATCAAATTATTGAAGAATGCTTCCATTTTTGCAAAATTTTCCAATTAAGGGACAAATAATAAAAAAAAAAAATAAAAAATAAAAAACAGAATCCATTGAATGGTCCATGGTCGGCAGTCGTGTGGTCGAAAAATCGATCGCTATCGGCATTGTGATCTCGGTCTCTGTTCTTTCGAGCTTGGTGTGTTGGTGCGCATGGCGTACATACATGTATACATACAGGGTGCGACCGAAAATTATATACAAAAGAATGCAAAATAATTTCTTCTAAAAATATCGAATAAAAATTTTCGTTCGAAGCCTTAGTCTTTGAGAAAATCGAATTTGAAGATTTGTTTAGTGCGTGTGTATTTATCGATTGGATATCGGTTTTCTGATTATTCTACATGCTAAAATATATCAAAAACATAAATAAATAAATTGTTTTTATTTAAAATTCAATTAAAACAACAGATAGTTCAGTTAATATGATATTTGAAAGAATTTAAATTTTCTCTACTTCTTTCCATATCTTTTCACGAAGAATTACTTCGTGAAAGCACTCACTTATATACACGGCCTCTCAAAACTACTTATTTACTTTTAATATTCACTATTTATCTTGGGTCGTAGAACTTCGAAGTTGCATGCATATTTACTAATACGATTAACTTTTCGTTGTGTGTATATAAAAGTATTATTTAATTTGTCCAGTTTTTGAACAAGCGTAGTCTAATGCGGGGGGGTTGAACGTAACTTTCGGACGCACCCTGTACGTAGGATGGGTAGTAAGTTGAGCGTGAGTGCTGCTCCGGCGCGTTAAGGGGTGACGCAGGGCTGTGTACAGGGCTGCTGCCTCTGGTATGCGTGTAACGAGCAGCAACGGACCACGAGCGCCTTAGGTCCCACGATTCTCGAAGCGAGGGGCCACGCAAAAAGACGAGGAATGCCTCAATACCTCGATAAACGCATTAAATCGCGTGGCGAGCCATCGATTGCACGCTCCTTTCGAATCTCTACCCCCTTTGTTGCCTCACAATGCGGATTTCCGTTAATACGTTCGAGCCGAACATGTATTTTTCATGGTTATATAAATTATAATTTTTTTAATATTAATATTAATAATATCAATATTTTTTTAATTTTAATATTAATAATATCAATATTTTTTTAATTTTAATATTAATAATATC